CCTTCTCTTGCAAAGTCCCATGCTTCCATGAGTCTAGAATTGCAATGAATCCCGCTTCTGACACCAACTGTAAAACTGGCGTGGCAATGGAAGCATCTGACTGCCTCTAACTTCATGAGGGGGAAAGAGAATCAAGATCAAAAGCCCAAGGCTGATTCCTATGAGGTGGCGGTCAGACATGCCTCTATCCTCTAAACTTTTTACCAATTCTGGCACCAACCATCCCTCCCACGACACTCTCTACTTCTCCTCCACGTTCGATAATTTGTTGCAGTGGCCAAAAAGAACTCACAGACCATATTCACAGTTATAGGGTTTATCAAAGAAATAATAGGTTACACTACCAAGTGTTGGCTGTTGTACTGTGGTAGCTTGTGTGTTACTGTGATGCTGGACGATTTGACAAACGTATTTCAAATACCAGTAGGGTCCCACGGTGGACAGGTTTCAGCAGAGCTTCCAGACTAAGAAAAACTAAGAAGAAGAACTTGGCAGTCTATTTCTGAAAAAAACTGGCCAGTAAAAATCTTATGAATAGCAACAGAACATTGTTTGATATAGTGTTAGAAGATGAGCCCTTCAGGTTGGAAGGCACTCAAAACACAACTGAGGAAGAGCTGCCTCCTCAAAGCAGAGTCCACCTTAATGACATGGATGGAGTCAAGCTTTTGGGACCTTCATTTACTGATGTGGCACGACTCAAAATAAGAAGAAACAGCTGCAAATATCCATTAATAATTAAAACATGGAATGTACAAAGTATGAATCTAGGAAAATTGGAAGTTGTCAAAAATGAAATGGAACACATAAAGATTGATATCCTAGGCATTAGTGAACTGAAATGGACTAGTATTGGCCATTCTGAATCAGATAATCATACAGTCTACCATGCCGGGAATGACAAACTGAAGAGGAACAGCGTCGCATTCATCGTCAAAAAGAACATTTCAAGATCTATCTGAATGGAACACAACTACTACAGCCTCCACCAGACTGAGTCTAGCACAACTGCATGATGCCCAGCTACCACAACCAATTGCTCTGACAAAGATCACAACAGAGAGTCCCAGACAGAGCTGAAGAAAAATGTCGAACAGAATTCAAACTCACAAAAAAAGATCAGACTTACTGGTCTGACAGAGACTGGAGAAATCTCAAGACCATGGCCCCCAAACACCCTTTTAACTCAGTGCTGAAGTCATTCCTGAGGTATACCCTTCAGTCAAAGATTAGACAGGCCCATAAAACAAACAATAATACACATACCTCAACCATGTATACAAGATTAAATGGGCACACCAGCCCAGGCAGAAGGATGAGATGGCAGGAAGAGACAGGAAAGCTGGATAAATGGAAATGAGGGCCCAAGATCGAGAAGGGGAGAGTGCTGACATATCGTGGGGTTGGCAACCAATGTCACAAAACAATACGTGTATTAACTGTTTAATGAGAAACTAATTTGCTCTGTAAACCTTTATCTAAAGCACAATTAAAAAAAAAGATCTATCCTGAAGTACAATGCTTTCAGTGATAGGATAATATCCATACACCTACAAGGAAGACCAGTTAATATGACTATTACTCAAATTTACGTACCAACCACTAAGGCCAAAGATGAAGAAATTGAAGATTTTTTACCAACTTCTGCAGTCTGAAGTTGATCAAACATGTGATCAAGATGCATTGATAATTACTGGCCATTGGAATGCACAAGCCGGAAATGAAGAAGGATTGGTAGTTGGAAAATATGGCCTTGGTGATAGAAATGATGTCGTAGATCGCATGACAGAATTTTGCAAGACCAATGACTTCACTGCAAATACTTTTTGCAACAACATAAACAGCGACTATACACATGGACCTCTCCAGATGGAATATACAAGAATCAAATCAACTACATCTGTGGAGAGAGATGATGGAAATGTTCGATATCATCAGTCAGAACAAGGCCAGGGGCCAACTGTGGAACAGACCATCAACTGTTCATATGCAAGTTCAAGTTGAGGCTGAAGAAAATTAGAACAAGTCCACGACAGTCAAAGTATGACCTTGAGTATATCCCACCTGACTTTAGAGACCATCTCATGAACAGATTTGATGCACTGAACACTAATGACCAAAGACCAGGCAAGTTATGGGATGCCATCAAGGACATCATACATGAAGAAAGCAAGAGGTCATTAAAAAGACAGAAAATACCAAAATGGATGTCAAAAGAGACTCTGGAAGTTGCTCTTGAACTTAGAGTAGATAAAGCAAAAAGAAGAAATGATGAAGTAAAAGAGCTGAACAGAGGTTTCAAAGGGCGACTCAAGAAGACAAAGTATTATAATGAAATGTGCAAAGACCTAGACATAGAAAATCAAAATGGAAGAACACACTCGGCATTTCTCAAGCTGAAAGAACTGAAGAAAAAATTCAAGCCTCGAGTTGCAACAGTGAAGGATTCTATGGGGAAAATACTAGACAACACAGGAAGCAACAAAAGAAGATGGAAGGAAGACACAGAGTCATTATACCAAAAAGAATTGGTCCACATTCAACCATTTTGGCAGGTAGCATATGATCAAGAACCAATGCTACTGAAGGAAGAGGTCCAAGCTGCAGTGAAGGCATTGGTGAAAAGCAAGGCTTGAGGAATTGATGAAATACCAGTTGAGATGTTTCAACAAATGGATGCAAGCACTAAAAGTGCTCATTCATCTATGCCAAGAAATTTGGAAGACAGCTACCTGGTCAATCGACTGGAAGAGATCCATATTTGTACCCATTCCAAAGAAAGGTGATCCAAAAGAACAAGGGAATTACTGAACAATATCATTAACATCACACTCAAGTAAAATATTGCTGAAGATCATTCAAAAGCGGTTGCAGCAGTACATCGACAGGGAACTGCCAGAAATTCAAGCTGGATTCAGAAGAGGACGTGGAACTGGGGATATCATTGCTGATGTCAGATAGATCCTGACTGAAAGCAGAGAATACCAGAAAGATGTTTACCTGTGTTTTATTGACTATGCAAAGGCATTCAACTGTGTGGATCAAAACAAATTATGGGTAGTATTTCAAGAATGTGAATTTCAGTACACTTAATTGTGCTCATGTGGAACCTGTACATAGACCAACAGGCAGTCATTCGAACAGAACAAGGGGATACTTCAAGGTTTAAATTCAAGAAAGGTGTGCCATTTCACCATATTTATTCAATCTGCATGCTGAGCAAATAATCTGAGAAGTCAGACTACATGAAGAACGGGGCATCAGGACTGGAGGAATACTCAAGAACAACCTGTGATATGCAGATGACACAACTTTGCTTGCTGAAAGTGAAGAGGACTTGAAGCACTTACCGGTGAAGATCAAAGACTACAGCTTTCAGTATGGATTATACCTCAACATGAAGGAAGCAAAAATCCTCACAACTGGACCAATAAGCAACATCATGATAAACGGAGAAAAGATTGAAGTTGTCAAGTATTTCATTTTACTTGGATCCACAATCAACACCCATGGGAGCAGCAGTCAAGAAATCAAACAACACATACATTGGGCAAATCTGCTGCAAAAGACCTCTCTAAAGTGTTAAAAAGCAAAGATGTCACTTTAAAGACTAAGCTGTGCCTGACCCAAGACACAGTGTTTTCAATCGCCTCATATGCACGTGAAAGTTGGACAATGAATAAGAAAGATCAAAGAAGAACTGATGCCTTTGAATTATGGTGTTGGCGAAGAATACTGAATATACCATGGACGGCCAGAAGAACAAACAAATCTGTCTTGGAAGAAGTACAGCCGGAATGCTCCTTAGAAGCAAGAATGGCGAGACTTTGTCTCACATACTTTGGACATGTTTTCAGGAGGGACCGGTTCCTGGAGAAGGACATTATGCTTGATAGAGTAGAGGGTCAGTGAAAAAGAGGAAGACCCTGGATGAGATGGATTGACACAGTGGCTGCAACTATGGGCTCAAACATAATAACAATTGTGTGGATGGCACAGGACTGGGCAGTGTTTCATTCTGTTATACATACGGTCACTGTGAGTCAGAACTGACTTTTTCGACAGCACCTAACAACAACAGTAGGTTACAGGTCAGGCTCAGGAATGCTCAGGATACAGTTCTTCGATCAGGACAGCCTCTTCTCAGCTGTGCTGCAGGCAGGTCTCTCTCTCTCTCTCTCTCTCTCTCTGGCCCTCGGCCCCTCGGCCTGGCCTCTGCCCTGCTCAGGCAAGTGTTTCAAAGCTCTTTTAGCTCTGCTGATAAGTGCCCAGAGGCACCCCACTCCACCAGTAAGCTTTGGCCCAAAGTCATTCAGCTCTAGCTCCGTGGGTCAGTAAACTTAACTCCACCAAGTGCCTGGAGGCACCCTACTCTGCCAGCAACCCTCCTGCCCAAAGGCGCTCAGCTTTCTTACTCTGTGGGAAGGAAATCCCACCACATCATCTCCTGCTGATCTCCTGCTGGTCTCCTGGTTCTGCTGCCGCCGTTTCTCTGCTGCTGCTTCTCACCGTCTCCAGTGTCACAGCTCTCCCTCTCTGTCCTGGTTCTGCTGCCTCTCTCTGTCTTCTGCATTACAGCTCCTTTCTCTCTCTCTCTCTGTCTCCCTTTAATTACGCCTTGTAGGACAGTAGAGCTGACCAATTCCCTCATTAGGGTTTCATACACCTTATTTGCTTGGTCCCACCCCTACAAGTATGCCATGCACCTTATTTATTAGCAAGATATCCAATCGCCTTGGGGGGCCACAAGCATCTCATTTGCATATTCCCACCTAGTCATTTGATGGAAGTTACAAAGACAATGGTTAGACAGGCTATATTCAGTAATTCACTGCAACACAATTATTTACAGTAATAACCATCACTATCAAAATAAGTGCTTTTCCAGAAGGGGGAGACCTGTATAAACACAGGCTGTTTCCAAGTACTAGAGTGAAAACTGGTATTACAGTTCCATCTGTTTATAAGAAAACGGCACGTTCACTTTAGGCAGCATTTACCTGCGTCTCCGTCCTCCTCACCCAAATTCAGCACTATAATGCAGATGTGCTTTCTCAGCTGGCGGGTGTTAGAGAACTTCCGGCAGCATTTGCTACACTCCAAGGTGCTTGGTGCTAGGCTGTTCCCTTCCTCTGACGCCAACGGACTGCCCTCAGCTGGAGTCGCGACATGTTCTGTCAGCTCCTCTTCAGCACAGGGCTTCTTCGTGGACCCCTTCGGCCTGCCTCTTTTCCGCTTCACTACCAAAAACTCTACGGAGGAAACAAGAAGACACTATGTAGTCGCATGATCAGACAGTGCAGGTCTGGCGCTCAAATGTCCAAGCTTGAGAGTATGCTCGGGTTTCACATTTCTTTAAAAACAAAAAGCCTGAAGCAACTCCAGAAATTGACAGTTGCAAACAAATATCTTTAGCGCTGTGATCATTGCATCCACACTAAGGGAAAAAAAAAAAAAAAAAATCAAACCAGTTGCCGTCGCGTCGATTCCAGTTCATGACGACCCCATGTGTGCAGAGTAGAACTGCACTCCACAGGGTTTGCAAGGCTGTGACCTTTCAGAAGTAGATCATCAGGCCTTTCTTCCAAGGCATCTGTGGGTGGGTTTGAACCGCCAACCTTCTGGTGAACAGTCTAGTACTTAAGCATTTGCACCACCCAGGAACTACTGCATCTACATAGCAATGTACAATCAGTTCTACAATATTGCGAATTAAGAGTATCATTTTATCAGAACCTGTGCACATGTTGCTTCTGCAAAGCTGGGATGATTTTAAGTTGTGACTGTCGGCCCCAGTTAACAAATCATGTTCCTTGTTAACCACCACTTCCATTTAAATCCAGTTCTCAGAAGCAGTTCACGGACTCCTTTGCAAAGGGTTCTCTAAGGCTGCTTAGCCTTTCATGCTCTTAATGAGTTATACAGCCACTCACCTTACTTTATGGAGTCATAATTATTAAAGTCAGATTGTCCTGACGAAAAAGAGAAATAACTACATCTAAAGCCACCAATTATAGCACTGAAGACAATATTTTTCAAGCTTCCTAGCGACTAGTGATTTTAAATGTCATGATCAAAGCTGGTGTAGCAACTTCTAAATCATTTTACAACCATTGGACATACAACCATCACTGTATTTCTTCTTGACTGACGTTCATTTTTAAGGAAGGGGGATGAAATAGCTCCAGAACCAAGGTGATAATGAAGATGGGCGAGCGGGGGTCAGGGAGCATGGTACAGTTGTGTGAAGGTGAGCAGGTGGTCCTAAGTCATGGTCTTAGGTGATGTGACCTGAGACGTAGCCCTGTAAGAGGCCAACAGAGGACGCTCGCCAGCCTGGCTGACATCCCGAGCGTCAGAGAGCCAGGGATCTGGCTGAGGCAGTGTGTGTCAGCAATCTCCTTACAACCTGAATGTCAGGGTGGACATAGAAGGATTCCTGGGATCTAGCACCATCTTGGGCCAATGTTCATCTGTAGAACTGGGCTGTCTTTCAGGTGCCCTCCTGCTGTCTCTGAAGCTATGCCTCTGTACGGTAAAACATTAGCCACAGTACAGCCGCTACCACTATGGGGATACGTCTAAGTCCGTCACTCATGAAGCCTTGAAGAAATCAGAGGGGGGAGGCCACAGAGCAGGAGGGTAGTGGGTCCTGGAGCAGAGGCTCCATGGAAAATGCAACATGACAATGAGGGCTCTGGACAGAGGAGCCTGCTTCAGCACAGGGTCTGCAGGGGCCTGGGGAGACCAGTCACCAGGTGAAGGAGAGGCCCTTGATGGAGCAGAGCTTCACTGAGCTGCAATGCCACAGGAGGGTCAGCCTTGACTGAGAGCTCCAAACGAGAGCCTCCCTGGACCAGGACAGCCAACACAATTGCTTCCTTCCATCTCACTTGGGGCGTGTTGAGGGTGGGGAGATGAGGGGAGGAAGAAATACTTCACAACAGGAAGGTAAATGGAGAGACAAGATCAAACAACCAGTGGCCAGGAGAGCCTTCCATCCGCTTGCCCACACTGAGTCTCACCCAGGAGGAGAACCAAAGCTGTGCTTACATGAGGGCCCGCCAGGGAATATGAGAGGGCGGTCGGCGGTAGGTACGCACAGGGTAAAGACAATCCATTCCACCTCCAAGTCATTAAAGCTTTTTTTTGTCATTATTCTGTACAACAGCATGTACTTGTACAACCTACTAAAGCAGCAATTAATAGTCAGAGAAGCAGAATTAGTGGAGAGGCTATAAAACACCCACCTCGTATCATGTTAGCTGAGCCGCGGAAATGCGTTGCATGAGAGTTTACTGAGTTTGTGGCCCAGGCCCAAGCCCTAATGACGAACTTGACTTCTTGGCCACGCGGGTACAAATGACTCCTCTCAAACCCTCCTAGGGATGCAGGGTGTGCAGCGTTTTCCCCAGGGGACATGCCTGGGCACAGTGACAGCAACTGTAGTCCCTACTGTATAGGAGGACCCATGCTTTCCACACAGTGCGAGCACAGCCCTGTCTGCCATCCGCAAGCGTTATCTGTGCATCACTCTCCTTAGACCGGAGGCTCCTTGAAGGCAGAGTCATCGTCTTGACAGCCTTATCCTCTCAGCTTCTAGCCTGGTGTTCTGCACAGCAAAACCCCAAAAACCCAAACCCACTGCCATCAAGTCAATTCCAACTCATGGTGACTCCATGGGCAACCAATACATCTGGGTGCATTGAGCTCACGAGCACTGTGCAATCTGGGTGTCAAGGATGAAGCCCACAACGGGTCCTGAAAGCTTTGGAAAGCCGCTAACACAACGGTGACAAATGCAATCTTACATTTTGCGCATCCATAATTCAGCTCCTCAAGACCAATTAGTCAGCGCAAAATGAAATATTCATAAATGAACTTGGAATAATTTAACTACTCCAAAAAAGTTGCTACTGTCAACTACCCACATTTATATAAGAGCTGAGGATCTGAGAACTGGACAAGGAAAATCTTGTAACCTCAAAATAAAAAAATTTTAATGGCGTTAGCTTTAATTCATCCTCCTCCTCCTTTCTAGACCCCTTTATTCAATCTGTCACTGAATCTGGGTTCTGCCCTAAGTCGCTCAGTGCAATTTTCTAACCAGTTGCTGTTGAGTCTGTTTGTCTCACAACGGCCCTATGCGTGTCAGAGTAGAACTGTGCTCCATACGGTTTTCAATGGCTGATTTTTTTCGGAAGCAGATCCCAAGAGCTTTCTTCCAAGGCATCTCTGAGTGGACTCAAACCTCCACAAACCAAGCTGGCTAGTAGCCAAGCGTGTTAACCATCTACACCAGTCAGCGACCCATAGGCTCCCCAATACGCACAGCTAATCCCTGTCTCTTTTGACTTACCTGTATTATCCCCCCTTCCTGTGACCATACACCAAAACCCAATCAGATCCCAAACCCCAAATCAAATCCTAACATTAAGGTCCAATTCAAATGTCAGCAGCTCCTCCATGAGGTCCTCCAGTTATTGGAGCAGGACAGCCATTTCCTCCTCTTGGGTCACATTTACAGCCTGAAGCACATGCACGGGTGTGCACAGTCTGAAGCACACACGTGGGTGTGCACTCACCAACACTGTTTCCTGATTGTGTTTCTGCTTCCCTAGCCTATAGCATAAACACTGAGGCCTGAGCTGGCCCTGTAACTGCCGGCTTCCTGGGGTCTTGTGAACAGAGCTGGATACGTAGAGTAAGCACTTAATAAATAAATACAGGCCAATCAGGTGCTTAAGCACAGGCAAAGAAACATTTGGGAAATAAGGCATTTCCCTGCATCTCAAGTTTCCAATAGGACAAAAGGGGCTGAGCCACCTTATGCTCTAGACCCTCTTCCTTCTATATCCATCCAGCTTGGGGATGCCTCCTCTTAGACAGAAAATCATCTTTGCAGATCCAAGGTCAAAGCCCGGGGAGGGACAGAAAGAATCAGCTGAAGGCTTTCAAATGCAATCAAAAGACAATCTAAGTGTTATTATAAAAAAAAAAGCCCAACACTATCAAAAATTTAATAATGTAAGCCCTTTATTTTTTTATCACTCAATGTTTCAAGGCACTTTCCCAGCTATTATCTCATTTCATCCTCATAAAAACCTGAAGAGATGATGTAGCAAATATAATTCCCTCGATGTAAACAAAAAGCGAGGGACCAAGGGTGTAAGTGACTTAGCACATTTCCAGAAGCAGCTGCTGGGCAGGCAGAGCTAGGATCCACTTAGTCTCCCTGTTCCCACCCAAGGATCTTTCTACTGAGTCATCCTGTCTCCTGGACTGGGTTGATTAGTACCAACCCGTTGCCATCCAGTTGATTATGACTCATTGCAACCCCATGTGTGTCAGAGTACAACTGTGCTCCATAAGGTTTTCAATGGGTGATTGTTCAGAAGGCAATCTACAGGCCTGTCTTCCAAGGTGCCTCTGGGTGGACTCGAACCTCCAACCTTCCGATGAGCAGTCAAGCATGTTAACTGTCTGCACCACGCAGGGACTCCAGGTTGGATAGTGTCCTCCCCTCTGCCCCACTCAAAAAAAATATGTCCTTCCTGGAACCTCAGACTATAACCTTATTTGGAAATAGAGTTATTGCAGGTGTAAATCAGTTAAGACGAGGTCACACTGCAGTGGGCCGGGACTTTAATTCAACCTGATTGGTGTCCTTGTAAGAAGAAGGAGTCAGACGTGGAGTTAGTCACAAAGGGCAACAGTCACATGAAGATGACAGCAGAGACTAGAGTGATGTGGGTTACCAGAAACTGGAGGACAAAGAAGGCTCCTCCTCCAGAGGCTTCCGAGGGAGCAAGGCCTGGCCAGCACCTTGATTTCAGAATTCCAGCCTCCAGAACGGAGAGAATGAGTTCTGCTGTTCTAAGCCACCCCATTTGCAGCGCTTTGTAAAGTCAGCCTTAGGAAATGAACAGGTCCCTGGGTGGCGGAAGCGACTGGCTACTAACCTAAAGGTCCGTGGTTCAAACCCACCCAGTGGCTCCGTGGAAGAAAGGCCTGGAGATCTACTTCAGTAAAGATTACAGCCAAGAAACCCTATGGGGCAGTTCCACTCTGTAACCCATGGGGTCGCTATGCATTGGAATGGATCCAATGGCAATGGGTTTAGGAAACTAACACACCTCTCCCCAGGTGTCGATAACAGAGGTCAGTTCCAGACATTTTAACAGAGCCTGTAAGTGTGCTGGAGAGAAGGCTGGCTTGGAGTCAGACAGACCTGGAGCCTCAGTTTCCAATG